TATATATATATATATATGTGTGGGTGTGTGTGTGTGTGTGTGTATATAGTTAGCTTCAGTCCAGACAATATAATTTTAAAACAAATAAGTTTAGACTCTAATCCAGTACTTGTAATAGCTCTACCTTCCACTTGTGCATCTGCCCATCATTTCTGCATATTAAACATAACTATCATCTATCATGCCAAAGCTTCTGGCAGGTCAAGTGGTAAATATTGACATAACTACTCAACAGGTACCATCAACTTAACCGGAACACAACGGGGTGAGGATATGATGAGAAAATTAGAAGGCACAGCAAATAAAAGCAAACGGTTTGGAATGTATGGATCCTATCTGTAGATGTGTTTTTATTGCCCAGGACCAGTTTAAATATATCACATTTGAACATGAAAACATGTAAAATATGTGAAAATAAAGGTAAATCCCCCATCTCTGAAACATTCTGGCATCCACTCGTCTGCTTAACACATCCGACATAGTGATGTTAACTTTCCAAAGTGAATAGATTGTCTCTTTTGATCCAATACCCTTAATTATTTTTTTTTTCCATTAGCACCCATATTAAGTACTAATTGATAGACTTTTTTTTTTCTGCAGCGAGTTAATGAACAGTATATTATGGTTTATGAGGTGATTATAAAGTGTTTTGTGAATGGTTCATTGTCCATGAACAGATTTATCACTCACTTATGGAGTTTAGACCTTTAGGTTTAACCTAGCCATTGAAATAGCTACAATGACTATATAAAAGTTACACAAAAAATATTCCATGAATTAAAAATGCATATAAACAATTAAAAACAAGCAGACAAAATCAAACCAATCCTGAATCAGACCACTGTAGAATCCCACATCTCCTGTTGTTTTAGTTCCAAGTTGCTTGTTTTCATCTGGATTTGTACAGGGGTTGATAAAGGAATGGGAACCAACAATGAACAACACCTGAATGCCAAAATACAAGGGGTATTCACTCCAATGGACTCAACAAGTACACCACCACACCAGAACACCCTACATCACGGTCAACCAAAAGCAATCACGTTACGATGTAGCAGCACGGAACAGTAATAGACAAGCAACTACATAAAAGTATTATGATAGTGTGACACTGTTTGTCCGATAGTTGTTGCACACAGTATGATTCTTACCTCTGTTACTTTTTACTCATATAGCTCATAATACACCATTCTTTGACATTATTTGATACTGTAGCTGGGCCTGTCAAGCATTCTATTGTCACACCATATTGATTGAAATCAATGGTTCAAAAGTGGAAATGTAATTTTTTGATCATTTTATATTCTAGAGACTGGTTGCTGATGTCTACATGTTATTTGTAGACAGCAATTGTTCATTGTCCAGAGTGAAAGGTGAGAATAACTAACTTTCAAAAAGTTTAATAATTTCTTAAAAATTAATAAACACTTTAAACAATAAACACAGCATTTTTTTTTTTTTTTTTTTTTTTTTCATTTAGCCTTTATTTATCCAGGTTAGTCTCATTGAGCCACGAGAACTCATTTTCAAGAGAGACCTGTTTAGGGAGCACATAATACTACTATTGTTATGCCATACTGTTTTACATTATTAGCGTATAGCTTAGCTCTTTTAGCGTACCTTTTGGCATTCGTTAAGCATATATTAGTATATCAGTGGATATCTTAGATCCTTATTTACTGTTTCTCATTATACTTTATATTTTGCTATTTTGGGTGTAACTGGGACCCTGTGTAAATAATGTCATTCCACCTCATGTAACACATGTGATGTGAATGACAATAAAGGACCTTGAACTTGAACCTCAGCTTGAACTGTAATGCTTAATGCACCCGACCTGTTGTAGAACATGATTGTTTGTATTTTTAAACCTCTGTTATTTTTATATTTTATGTTATTTTATTATACTTACACATATACGTATATATATATATATATATATATATATATATATATATATATATATATCCTCTATCCTCTGTGATTCATTGCGTTTGTTCCATTGAATTGAGACTTTGGCACAACATTTTCCTGCCTGATCAATAAAGTTCTTATCTTATCTAATCTTATCTTATCTTAGCTCATCTTATATTATAAACCTTTCAAATCCTAAATGCACAAAGTAGCGTTACCGCAGGTCCTTCCTTTCAGCAGCTGTTAGACTCTACAACTATCACTGCTCCCAACAAACTCAATAAGGATTAAATACATGCTGACCTCTGCTAAAACACACACTCTGCCTATAATACTGTATTGTAAATAGTCTGTCATTATCAATGTTCCAACACATATTGAACATTATTATTGATAGTGTTTCTCTTATTTCTTTATATATTGTTTTTAACATTTAGGAGCTTTTGTGTGAAATATTTTTATCTGTTTATCTGTTGCTGCAGTTGCTGCTGTTACACTTGAATTTCCCATCCATGGGACAATAAGGTCTGCTTCTATTCTATTCTATTCTATTCTATTCTATTCTATTCTATTCTATTCTATTCTATTCTATTCTATTCTATTCTATTCTATTCTATTCTACTTTGACATATACTATATGCTTTAAAAACTAAAGCTTGAGAGAAAAATGGCCACATCCAAACCAGTAACTAAAGAAGGGCAATGCCACATCATCACATGTGCTCAGAAAAATGTTTAACTTAAATATTTTAATTTTCAACTTATGGAGCTATTTTTGACATGAAATTTTACATTCTGGAAAATAATACAACATTTTAGCTGTGGCTCATTACAACAAACAATTGCATACATCATTTGCATGCTTAGGCCTCTGGCAATAAACAATAAATGAATTAATCACATGATAAATTAAAATTATCAACATTTTCATTTATCGGCTTTATCGTTTCTTCGTGTCTCTCTCTTTCTACTGAAGACACTGTATGACAAAAGGCTCTCAACTCCGGTGCTCTTCACTGACCTCTCCCTTTCGTTTTTCATTTTAAAATCCATTTTAATCGTCCAAAATTACGTTTTTGGATCATTAAAAGCAGCTAAGCTGAGAAGCTAAGCTAACAGGCCGACCTTGGGAAAAAAACCTCCGTCTTGTCGAAGCTCCAACATTTACGGCTGAAAACTGCCTTAGTCTAAAAAGTTGTTTTCTCTGCAAAAATAAGCTGAGAAATTATTTTGTGATTGTATTATTAAAAATTTTGCATGACAAATGCTATGCTAAAGAGCTAAAATGTTCAGAGCGTTTGCCATTTTGAAAACCGAAAAACAAGAACGAGAGACAGCCCATGTCACGTCAAGGGGCCTCCCTCCCATTTTTCTTAAAAAGACATGCTGCTCGCTCCCTCAGTATTTGAATCCTTCGGTTCAAACAGTCGTATACTGCCATCCAGTGGTCAAAAAGGTAATACAAAGAAATTAACCTACTTTTCTTCTTATATTTGACAATAATTACTAATGTCAAATTTCAAACAATGCTATCATTTATAGCAATAATTTCTGAGACAATTAATCTACCAGCTAAATTTGTTATCATGACAGGCCTATGCATGCTTTGAATAACTGTTACACAACAGTTATCGTGTATACACTTTATTTTTTATTTTATTTTATTTTTTTTTTTTTCAGGGGATGTGATAAATTCTTCCATGTACAGTATTTTCCTAAAACTTTTTCTATCTGAAAAAATAAAAATAAAAAACAACAACTTAAGAGCACAATTCCTAAAACTCTAATACGAATACTAACAATAATTTGTTCCAATAGACTAGATTCAAATCCACTTTCTGTCACTAGCCAACATAACCAGGATCAGCTTTTTTAATGTAATATTGTTATTTTGACCACACAACAAACTAAGCATGTGTTGTTTTTTTTTTGTTTTTTTTTTTTTGTTTTTATAACTAGGTTAGCATTATGTTTTGAAACAGAACAGACTCACCACACTAACAAATCTCAGAATTTATCATTCTATCCATTTTTGCTCGAGAGCTTTTGGCTTTATTGAAACTGTAAAAGAAAACCACAATTTAACTACTAAAAATGCAGAGTTGCAGCCACACAGTCCAAATCTCATTATTGGAAAAATCCAGAGCTTGACAGGCCTGGTCACAGTTTCTAAGCTATGACTGAACAATTATTGCCAGAGAAAGTTTGTGACCAAGAGGCAGTTGCACGTGAAATGCTCAATTTTGCTGGATGAGTGCACAACTACAGAACGAACAGCGACAAACTATGAGATGCATACTGCTCAGTTTAGGCCTACATTTAGTTTAAATTAGTGGGGCTCTATGTCATGGAGTTTATGTTGGTTTTAGTATGGCTTACGTTGACTTTCTTTATAAACAAGAGATGGTCTGCGTGATAGTGATGACTCGGTGCTTTGCCTTGGTGGTGGGGGAGGGGGGACCTGTGATGGATGAACACCAGTCATGGTGGTTAGGAGGGTTATTAGGGTTTAGAATTTTAGTAAAGAACATAATAGGCACTTTCAAAATGAAACAGCTGTAAAAGTCAAAGGGTTATCGTGTTCTTAAGGCACAGTTTAATTTACATAGTTTATCATTAAGGAGGCAAGTGTTTGGGTTATTATGTCATTACTTTAGCAGGTATGGACAGCCACCAATTAAAAACAAGTTCAGTTTCACAACAAACATGTAAACCGTCTTTTTTGAAAAAAAAAAAAAAAAAAAAAAATCCATTAGGCATTAAAATAGGAGATGAGATAATGAAAGTTATATGAACAAGTTATAACCAATTTTCATATTGGTTATTGTAGAAATATCTTTGAAATGACTCAGTTTGATTAAATAATGTGAAGTTTTGTCAAGACTGACAACCTAACAGCTAGTCTGAGATGGGTCAGGACCTATGTAGATTGCAGTCATCCTTAAACAACTTCAGCTTAAAAAGATGTCACGGTGGTTCATGTGAATGCTATAATCAACTTTTACGTTGTGGTTAGTTTCTCAATATATAGTGATTTACTATGAAACTCATGGCAATTTACAAGATAGTGCTTGTAGCACCCTACCAGTCTATTTCAGTTGGTAGAGCTGTTGCTTCTTAGCAGGAATGTTGCAGGATTGCATCCCAGCATGGGGATATCCTGGATGGAATTTGCATGTGATTTTTGTGCAAGGGCTTTCTCCAGGTATGCTGGTTTTCGCCCACAGACCAAAAACATGCATGTTAGGCTAATTGGTAACTAGGTGCCTAGGCTGTACCCCACCTCTTGCACAGTGACTGCTGGACATGGGCACCAGCAACCCCTGTGACCTGGAAAGGAAAAATGGGTGAAGATAATGGATGGATGCCTGTGACTGGACTAGCTGTTAGCTTGTAAAATATGTCAAAATTGCATTCTGTCCAAAAAATGTGCCCATTCAAAAAGCTATGTACCTATTGAAAATTGTTTTTTGGTTTGTAAATTATACATTGCTTGTAACCTTTGCACAAAACCCCACTTTTAATTATCTGAATTACCCATTTAAGTTGGATTTTAACTTCCATAGCCCAATGTGTGTCAATACATGAGAAGATATGAAACAGTTATTTTGACTATTACATCACTCCCAAGATATACCTGAATAGTACTGACACTGTGTGTAATATACATTTTGAAATATGTTTCTCGTGTTTCTAACGCCCATATTATTTTCTATGTAGATTTCATCCTGTATGCTCTGAACACAGGGTATGCAAGACATGATGCTGAACAGAAAAAAAAAAAAAGACAGAATGGAAACATACAAGTTTTTTAACCACCCACAAACCCATGAGGCCACATACGTGCAGCACTATATGTGAGTATTTAAATATGCATATGCACACACACTTCTCTCATCTCCATAATTACTGTATAGTCAGCTTGCCCGTGTCTGGGGGTGACTCTCAAAGTGAGATGTTGACAACAGCAGAGCTGAACTCAAGCTGGGACTTGTCAAAGGCCTGACACTGATAGCATTATCCATGTAATTATTCACACTTAAGTGAGCTGCCTACTTATTTTTAACATAATGGATTTTAAAGCGTAAGCCAGACCGAAGCTGCCCTTTTCTTTTTCACAACTTCAGATCTGCTTATGTCAGTAACCAAAAGGGAATATGCGTTCCAATTTGTCTCAGTGTGTTCTAATTATTATTTGTGAGTGGCTTTGATTATTTTATGACTACAATTTACTTGTTTTTTTTATTTATTTATATATTTTTTTTACATTTTAGATGTATCTCAAAACATACCAAACCTCTCTCTGACCCACATTAGCATGCAGCTGCACACGATTTTAAGAACCAAACACCTTTTTTTTTTGTTTCTTTTTTCTCCTTCTCTTTCTTTCTTTTATGAATTATTTAATTGGCATGTTCTGTGAGTTGTCCAACAGTTCAGAAAATCGTGCTCTAGATATTGAGTAAATGACAAGTGATGGAAAAGAACAGGGAAGGGGAACATGTGTGTGTTTGTACAGTCAGTATGTAGCTATATAAGGAATATGAAATATGTCACACTAGCCTCTGCTCTTTTTCAGGCAGTGTAAATTAGTTGTGAACCAGCATGCGACCGATGTCAGAAGAAAGTACACCTATCCTATCGGGGCTGACTGACTTATCACGACTCCATGCGCTACAGCTTAGCAGATGAGTGCAGTGTGAGCGTGTGTTTAAAACTTAATGAAAGTGGCCCTCTGAAGGTCAGTGCAGAGCGAGCTGGGAGTGTTACGTCTGCCTCTAATGGGGTATTAATGATTCAAA